GTTTCAGAGGAGCAGCCGTGTTAGTCTGTATCCGCAAAAAGAAGAACAGGAGTACTTGTGGCACCTTAGAGACTAACAAATTTATTAGAACTTTAGGCTGTGATGATTACAGCCGACTTCTTCGGATGCATATGCTGTAGTCCACGAAAGCTTATGCTCTAATAAATTTGTTAGTCTCTAAGGTGCCACAAGTACTCCTGTTCTTCTTTTTGCGGATACAGACTAACACGGCTGCTCCTCTGAAACCTGTCAAGAATACCAAGTGACATTTATTAAATATTTTTGATTTTTTACACTAATATTGATTTCTATTACAACACAGAATACAAAGTGTAGTGTTCACTTTATATTTTTGATTACTAATATTTGCACTCTAAAATGAAACGAGATTTTTCAATTCACCTCATACAAGTACTGTAGTGCAATCTCTCTATTGTGAAAGTGCAACTTACAAATGTAGATTTTTGTTTTTGTTTTTGTTACATAATTGTTTTATTTTTGAGAGCAATGTAAAACTTTAGAGCCTACAAGCTCACTCAGTCCTACTTCTTGTTCAGCCAATCGCTAAGACAAGTTTGTTTACATTTACAGGACATAATGCTGCCTGCTTATTATATACAATGTCACCTGTAAGTGTGAATGCTTGTTCTCACTTTTGTAGCCGGCACTGCAAGGTATTTACATGCCAGATATGTTAAAAATTCATATGCCCCTTCATGCTTCGGCCACCATTCCAGAGGACGTGCTTCCATGCTGACGACGCTCGTTTAAAAAAATAATGCATTAAACTTGTTACTGAACTCCTTGGGGGAGACTTGTATGCAGGGGTGAAAGTAACTTAAAGGACTCACCGGTACCCCTGGAGTCCTGAGTGGGGCGTGGCCTTAACTGGAAGAGGCAGGGCCTTTCAAGATTTAAAGGCCCTGGGGCTGTGGCTGGGAGCCCCAGGGCCTTTAAATAACCCCTGAGCTACCAGCAGCAGAGGCTGGGGTAGCAGTGGCAGGGCTCCGGCAGATATTTTAAAGAGCCAAAGGCTCCGGCTGCTGCGGGGAGCCCCGGGACCTTTAAAGTGCCGCCGGAGCTCTGGCAGTGGGGCTTGGGTGGCGCTTTAAAGGGCCCGGAGCTCCAGGACCTTTAAATCACCGCCAGAGAAGCCGGTCCAGTCTGGCACACATACCAGCTTACTTTCACCTATGATTGTAAGTCTCCTGTTCTGTTTTACCCACATTCTGCCATATATTTCATGTTATAGCAGGGTTGGCTGATGACCCAGCACATTTTTGTTTTTAAAAATACTTTCACAGCAGATCTGACAAAACGCAAAGAAGGTACCAATGTGAGATTTCTAAAAATAGTTACAGCACTCGACCCAAGGTTTAAGAATCTGAAGTGCCTTCACACCTCGTCCCTCTCAGTTTTTGGGAGCATGCTTTCAGATGCCTTAAAGAAGCAACACACTGATGCGGAAACTACAGAATCCAA